GTCAACGGGGATGGTTAGTATCAATTCACATCAACTAAAAAGAGGAAGTAGAGGGGGGGGCTCACTTCTTGGACACGGGAACTAATCCACCCTTCTCCAAGAGATGGTCGCACAGACGGTTGAGAGCCGACCATTCCCTAGGGTCCACGTCGTCGATGTCGTCGTCAGCCTGAGTGTCATCTAAATCAAGTGCCGCAGACGTGATATCTGACGCAAGTTTCGCTTCGGAGATCCATCGTTCAATGTCTCGCAGGACTTTGGTGATTTCCTGTTTGTATTTGGTACGCAACGATGCGTCGCGGTTTGTTGATTTTAAGAGCGACTTGTATTGTGCGAGTACCGGATACAAAGGGCGGAGTTTAGGAGCTTTTGAGGGCTCGATGTTCGAGGGATTTAATGCAGGTATAAAGTAGTGGTGTAGGAGCCATGACATGGACTATTTTTGCGTTATCATCAGTCAAGTCAAGTCAACAAGATAAACAAAAAAAAGCTGACATCTCTTGCAGCCTCTCTGAGTACGTCTATACTTGGCAAGTCTTCGTGGGTGGCAGCATGACGAAGCTCTACGAGCCACGCCGGAAGACCGAGCTGGGCAGCGATGCTTGCTATGGAACGAGCGTACGCGCCGAGTTGCAAAGGGTCCACAAGACCGTTCACCAGACGTATGATAGCTGCGGCGTACGCCTGTCTTAGGGATAGAAACGATGACGACCCTTGGGCAGACGCGTCCTGCACAATCACGGTAAGTATCGATAGAGCTGATTCTAGAGCGTGCGGAATGGTTGTTGTAGCCTTCCATGCTGCAAGCTGATATTACGGTCAAGAGATGACAACACGAAGGCCCATGGGATACAACTCACTCGGTTGATAGCGAGGACTTTGGCGTCCAAGTCATTTTCATCTGCGTATATCCACGAGCAGACTTGATCGAGCTCTGCAAGGCTCGCCCAGGGGACTCGCCGTGGTAGCCTCATATTATTATTCCTTCTCCAAAAACTATCAGCATGCGTTTTTACTAGCGCATGAATATTATATTTACCTTTGAAAATCCAAAAAGAAAATCAACTGCGATTACCAAGTTGTTGAAGATAGAATGAACTTGTTTCAACCGATACGGCAAATTTTACGCCACAAAGACCAAACAAAGTCCAACTCAAATAGGCGCCAGAGTACAGCCCATGATAATTATTTGTGTGTTCAATGCTGCGTACAGCACCCGGAAAACTCGCAGGAGATAGGATATTTATTTAAAGCGTGCAGTACTACGGCCATGTCTACTGTTGGATGCCATCCAGGCTTTCAAGCTACTCGTCGTTCACGATTAAATCTCAGTACAAGAACAAGCAGGAAAGCTGACTTTCGAGACACCAACGTCGATCATTCACACTTGTGCACCCTCTCCGACTCGTGTGATAGAGACGACTCGAAGAAACGACTGGCTCGAGCTACTCACCGACCAGGAAGACGTGCTAGAACAGCACGATCTAACGTGGAGAGTGCGAGACAACAGGTCGAGGTGCTGGTGTGTGCTGTGAAGGAGAGAGAGACGAATGCCAAGAGTGTTTTATAGTGAGGTCACTTTACCGTGGTAGACGCAAGGATGGCGAGCTGTGGCCTCACTGTGGTCATGCTTTGAATATAAGAAGAATCGACGGAGAGTGTCTTTTCTCCAAAGACGACAGCTGTGAGAGGTTTTGACCCGGGCACGAGGCGACTTACGGAAAGCTGAGTGAATCAAAAAAGCCCCCATGACCTTGGACTATTCGCTACTAAACCAAGCATCTAGACAGAGGAATGGAATATGCGATTTGTCGCACTTGTCGCATATCTTTGCTCCCTGGAAGACATGGGATTCTACGCACGGCCTGCCGTCAGTCGACCTGAAACCAGGAAATTTTGCAGCGGGGCATCGATTAGACTCGGTTTGGCCAGTATGGAGCCATGTTTGAGAGACGAGTAGCAGCCATCGGGCATCGGACGACGAGGACGACGACGAGGAAGGAGGAGGGAGAGGACGGGCGGGCGAGGCCTAGAAAGCCGGGGGAAAGAGAAATTGCTTATCTCTGCGCGGCTCACATGGCACAGATAAGCAATTTTCTGCCTTTGACCCAAGAGACGCCGAACAACGACGCCTGCCTTACGCGGTAATAACAGCATAAGCGCCGGAGAGTATGCCACCCGCTCCAAAGGGGTGATGACTCGAAACACCGCCCACGGAAATATTTCTTGAAATTGTTCTTGACATTTTGCAATCGCTTCATTGGCGGTGAGCAGACGGGCGAGAGGGAGACTCCGGAAGCTGGACGCTGCCAGTCATGCAAGCCGCCTAAGCAAATCCACACTAGCTCAGTCGAGGCGAACCCCCGCGGCTGTCCCCCTCCCGGAAAGCGGACAAACTCTGGACCCATATTTCTCAAAGATCTCTCTTGAGCTCACCGCACACCGACTCATCCTCGTCCTCTCTCTCCGTCTCCTCCATCATCATCACCCACCACCCACCACCACCGACGAGCGCATACATCCCGCCTCACGCACCTCACTGTAACAGTCAGACCGACTCAGACGACCCCTTTACTGCTCCACCTGATCATCGCAAGCAACGGAATACACCAACATGGACCGACAACCTCTTTTATCTCGTATGTTCCTGCCTCTATCTCAACGCTGACACCCAACCTAATCTTCATCTCAGGTCGTGTGGGCCAATCGCTGCTCGCCGATGTCAGCCAGTGAGTCCCAGACCACGCCCAAGATAACAACTTTCGCATGCTTATCGCTCCCGTTGTCCTCTAGATTCGACCGCGGTGACATGTCGTTTATCATTATCTGCGGTGCACTTGTCCTGTTCATGGTCCCGGGCGTCGGTATGTCCACACTTATCTTCACGCGCCCAACCCCTTCCTAACGGTTATCTCCCCGCCCCCACCCGTACCCCAGCTTTCCTCTATTCCGGTCTCTCACGTCGCAAAAGCGCATTGCACCTCATCTGGATCGTCACAGCTTCCAACGCCATCGTCATCTTCCAATGGTACTTCTGGGGCTACTCTCTCGCATTTTCTCCCACCGCAACCAATGGCTACATTGGAAACTTACACAACTTTGGAATGCAGCATGTCCTCGCTGACCCCAGCCCTGGCTCCCCCCTTATTCCAGAGCTCCTGTACAGCTTCTACCAAATGGAATTCGCCTGCGTAACAGTGGCCATCTTGATGGGAGCCCTGGCAGAGAGGGGACGGGTCTTGCCTGCGCTTCTGTTCGTCTTTTGCTGGATGACCATCGTATATTGTCCCCTGGCATGTTGGGCCTGGGCGCCAAATGGATGGGGATTCACTTGGGGAGTACTCGACTATGCAGGTTCGTTTCTATTTCTCGTTCCTCCTATCAACTTTTGCTGACCAACACAGGCGGCGGACCCGTCGAGATTGGTTCTGGTATCGGTGGTCTTGCGTACTCTTGGGTCCTCGGTCGTCGTTCGGAGCGCGAGCTCATCAACTTCCGACCACACAATGTCTCACTCGTCGCACTCGGTACATTCATTCTCTGGGTCGGATGGCTAGGCTTCAACGGGGGTTCAGCCTTTGGAGCCAACCTCCGTGCCGTCCTCGCCGTCTGGAACAGTATGATCTGCGCCGCCTTTGCCGGATTCGTTTGGTGCTTCTTGGATTATAGGATCGAGAAAAAGTTGACCATGGTGGGCTTCTGCTCTGGTACTATCGCGGGTTTAGTTGCGGCAACGCCTTCGAGTGGGTACATCCCGCTCTGGGGAAGTGTCGTCCTCGGTGTCGTCGTTGGTGCAGTGTCCAATTATGCAACAAAGCGTAAGTCAGAGATTAACTTGCAAGTCACGCAGATGCTAATGTTATCTTACAGTGAAATTCCTCCTTCGCATCGATGATGCCCTTGATCTTGCCGCCGAACACGCCATGGGAGGAATTATCGGACTTCTCTTCAACGCTCTGTTCGCAGACAAGAATTTAATTGCTCTCGATGGCGTCACTTCAGTCCCCGGAGGATGGCTCAACCACAACTGGAAACAGTTGTATATTCAATTCGCATATGTCTGCGCTACAGTGGGATATTCATTCTTCATGACGGCATTGCTTGCCAAGACGTTTGATATGGTACCGTGGATGAGGTTAAGGACGAGTCCAGAGGAAGAGGCGCTTGGTATGGATGACGTTCAGGTACGTATCTCCTGCGATTTACCTCGACACTCAAGAGCTCATACCATCTATTCCGTTCACTTCTTATAGCTTGGCGAATTCGTAACAGATTACGTCGAAGTCCGTAGGGACTATCGCGACTGGACACCCGCTTACGATGGCGCACTCCCCATGCACACAAAGGGCGGTAGCTCCGAAACTACATCTTCCGCTACAGATAACTCACCACCTGCTGCCGCTGGAGATCGCCATGGTGCACCCGATCTGACCAACAAGGCACAACGACCACAGCAGAACGAACTGGATATCATTTCTGAAAAGCCTGCGGAGGAAACATCATAACCCAGACTCTCTCTATTTTTGGGCATCCTTTCTGTCGAATACCCCACCAACACCTTTTTAATGGGTGGTCTCGAGAGAAAGGAAGTGCGAGTTCCGGAAAAACAAAAAGTGGCGTGCACAAGGATAGATTCGGACACAACACATCATTATTCCCACATATATCTGTGCGCACCCTATCTTGTGCTTGTTTTACCACCTGTCGTTGCTGTTGCTATTACTGTTGTTGTTATTTCTTCTTCTTTTGGGGATCGGGGAGGTTTAATCCGTGGTTCATCCATCCATTTTTTGTAATAATGGCCATTTTCTGCTATGTATTGGTAACAAACATCATCTTTTTTTTGCATATATAGAATCAGAAATACATTTTTCAACGTCGAAAACTGAACGTCCGTCGTGTCTACCTCCCTGCATATCCACCCAATTCAAAGTATGCGTGCAAATTCCAAATTGATCGAGGTTTAGGCCACATGATTAATTATAAGAGCTTTTCTTTCGGTCCTTGTCGATTAGTGGTTAGATCATCACGTTGTGGTCGCTCGCAATTCCGTGAAGACGCAGGCTCGAATCCTGCCTGGGACACATTGTTTTTTTGGGGTTTTTTTTGGCGTTCATTATTGTGGGTCAACAATCCCGTCATTATTTTTTAAACCAGCGTTTATTACTGGTCCTTGTCGATTAGTGGTTAGATCATCATGTTGTGGTCATTCGCAATTCCGTGAAGGCGCAGGCTCGAATCCTGCCTGGGACATTTGTATTTTTTGGTTCTCACAAGGCCTTTCGGACCGGTTGCCGTTTCACACCTTCTGCACTGAGTGTGCGCAATCGTGGAGCTTGCACCGTAACCACTAACCTCGCATACAAGTGAACACGTCGTATACATTCGTACGTGAGTATGAACTACTTGTTTTTGTACCATACTGATGGACTTTGGTTACTTGTAAGCAGGGACTAGCTTGGGACTATTGTTCCGCGCTATCTAACGTGTGTATTTCCATCTTCTCATCTCGTATCCGTAGCTAAATAAGATATCGTTTCTACCTCAGCACTCTTGCATTTGAGAATCTCATAGCTGCGCAGAACTTGGGCCTCTCGGGCTGCCATGGGGTCGTCGACGGCGGTCGCATCGAGCTCTCGTACCCCGTACTTCTCGCTCGCCTCCGTTCCTCAAGAGCTCACAGAACACATCCTCAAGTTTTGTCACCCACGCGATTTCGCGAGTCTCTCTGAGACATGTACGACTTTGCGAAATATCGTGTACAACGAAGACGATTACATCTGGCGCATGGCATTCTTGATGTATCCCTTTGACGACATGCGTCTGTCTCTTGACGTTGAAGCAGTCGGGGGGTCGGCGGCCAAGGGATCGGAGCTGAAAGATAAAATGAAGACGAAGTTGAATTGGAGAAAGGAGCTACAGAGGCGTGTGTTTGCGGAGGGAGTGCTGCGGAGGCCGAGCGAAGACGCAAAGTTGGATGGACGCAAGCTCCTCAAGGCCATCGAAATCCTAAACGACGCAGTCGACTCTGCAGCACCTGCTGCCAGCTCATTCATTTCTGCCAGCTCTAGACCAGACGACACAGATATATCCTATAATCTCGCGTGGGCAGAAGATACACTCTTGCATTCCAAAGTCTTCGAGGCACCCCCCGCCTCAGTAATGGAGATGATCGACAGTGATCCGATCGTTGAAGAGAAATTAGAACGGTTGCGTTCCCGACTCAGGTGCTATCTCTCTTTGGCGCACGAGACGGGAATAGCCAGAGACTCCGAGGAGCGTTTGCGCAGGCTGCGCATAGCAGCGAGGTGTTTCGTCTACGACTTGGGACACTATTGCGATCAAACGAGGTGGGGACCGTACAAACTACTATCACGGCCATCCAATCAGGTGCTATCTGCTGCTAGTGGAGACGGTAAATATGCAAACGAAGTCAACAAGGAGCCTGTGCTTGTAGTCAATTGGGAGCATGTAGAACATGTGAGGAATGTGGTGTATATGAATTTGAGGGAGCTGCCCGGCTATTGGCGAAGTTCTGTTGTGCCGACGTTCGATATTCAGGCGACCAGGCCGTGGTCTGCACCAGGGTATCTCTCAGAAACGAGAAACCCGAGGGATTGGGCTGGTGTCGAAGGTGTGTGGCGGAGAGTTGTATGCTTCATGGATTATCGGTACGTCCCAGTATTCTTCAGCTGGCAATGATCGAGCAGGAAGCTGATTTTCTGTGACATTAGGGATCTATTCTGTGAGTCTCTGAGTAGTTGCGATTCTGATAGAGCTAACGTCTGACATGCCCTGACAGCTTTCAATGTAAAGTTCCCTGTGTATCTCTATCTTTCTCGCTGACTGACTTGTCCTCTAGTACACAAGCATGCAGGAAATGCGTCTTCACCCGACCTACTTTGACGGTGACTTTTCGGAAGCCACTCGTGTAGTCGAAGCACAATTCGTGTTTGACGAAGAAGCATCGCTTGCAACTGAGCTAGAGGAAGACGACGACCCAAGCTACCCACCAGTGGCGTTTTCAGGCCTTGCTCGCGGTGTTCACCTCACTCGACAGTCGCACGTTCGCGGGACGATTCGGAAAAAGAAGGATTACATTCGGTGGAGCTTTGTAGATGTCGTTTCCGTTCCTTTCCTTGCTCATTCGGGCGTGATTCGCTGACCCGCTGACTCTTGCATAGATAACAACACACGATAGATCTCAGTGGGCGTGAGTATGGACTGCATAATCCTCGTTAATTTTGCTAAATCCGTATAAAATGTTAGTGCGGAGGGCGTGCAAGTGGGAGGCGTTGGAAGTGCCATGGGGGTCGCCGGCATCTGGACGGTCGCAGTACATGAAGAAGGTGCGGTTTTTTTTATCCCCGCCTGTGAGCTAATGTTAATTGCTCGTTGTGTACTTACAGAAGGTGATCCTGCTGGTAAGAGCGCTTGTCGTTTCGAGAGTTGTCATTTTTGAGACTGCTCACTAAACAAATTTGATAGGTCCGTTCTGGATGTGGAAAGCAGATCAAAGTCTTCCGGAAAACATGCTCGTCTTGCATGATTCCTGACTATACCAAGTCTAAACGCAATGTCTCCTTCAGCACGATGAGAACTTGTCATACTTGAGACGGTGGTCTCGTAACAAATTGGATTTTCCCTTGATTCTTAGCTCCCTTCCCAACAAACGCTTGTACACTGAATTTGTTGTATCTCGTTTTCTCATCTGTATTGCTACAGAGGTTGAATTGTAGAAATACTTGTAATAGTAGCATCCCATGTACTCAACACAACGTCTGGAGAATCCGACTTGGATGGGAAAGGATATGTGGCGGTCGATTTGGATCCCCATAGGTAGTGTGGTACGTTCTATATATTTATCGTTACTAAAGAGTATCTGACGTATTTATTTCAGCGATTCCTACATTGCCTTTGAACTCCTCTCGCACTGACTCCCTTCTCAACGTAAACTCGGATGGTAAATCAATTGAAATGTTCCCTTCCATGCCATAATTCACCAGCAGAGTAAGCTTATCGAATTCCACCCCCTTTGAGTTGAGTCACGTTTATTCCGGACATTCCGATATGTTGGGTACCCTCCATTCTCATGTAAGCAAGTACTGATTCGACAGTTTCTAGTTCAATCGTTTGGCCCAAAGCCTGTCACGTGTAATTTATTTACGGAAAATAAGGATCCTTATTTATAGAGGTACTTTAGAGGTAAAGTTCGAATGTTCATGACCAACTTAACACGGGCTCTAGGTGGAGGGCGGTCGAAGGTACGGTGTTGTCCATTCCAGCGCTCCTCGTGTTGGTATGTTTCTTGCATTGTTGACCCACCTTCTAGTAGTTTGGAATGACTGTCGTTGATCTCTGAGTGGCACGACGTCGCACACTCATAAATACGTGGTGCTCATCGTACATACCAGCGATCGGAACGTTGTAGTATGGCAGCACGCGTACGCAGGTCCTTTGGCGTTTAACCGAATCCCTCACCTCACCCGCTTCATTGGGAACCCATTTACATGGCAAGGATGAAACTTGAGAGGCTCAAGAAAACGCACGCTTGACAAGTATATGAGCCTCGGAAAACGCCTCTCAACCTCTCCAGAACACCTCTGCCGAGAGAATCACGAAGATAATCTTAGTACTCGGCAATATGGATGGGAGTTCATGTGCTCATCGAGTGGCAATGCATTTTGGTATGAAGCTCCCTAAGTATCTCTATCACGGTTAGTCTCTCGTTGAGCTGAAGTGGGTTGTTTAGGTCAATAAAAGCAGGCTGTACCATTTGTTTGGCATATCGTCCACTCCCACTGTCAGTACTCTGATTCGCAAGGTTCCTGATTCGTAGTACTGATGGACACAGCACTCGTTGTGTCCGGAGAGCAGACAACCAGTGCCTCCGCTAGTAAGTACCGCTTACATTTCAAAAAAATAATGACATAGCTCAAACTGATGGGGACAGTCGCCGCTCTGGCGTGGGTGACCTGGGACACAATTGTCAACTTCGGCGACGAGGTAAGTCTCTGTGCGTCGTGCTCTTTTCTATACGAATCACCATGTACTTATAAACCTCTGCCTCAAGATTGAATTCATTTGGAAGTATGACAAACTTTGGTCTTCATAAGAACTCACTCCCGACCGACCTCTTGGATATCTCTAGTCGACCCAGTTCCTGGATAAAGTGGTCATATGCATTCATTCGTTATATTCCAATTCTACATGAATGGTACGCGGCAAATACTGGTTTACTTGGAGCTCACATGTGTACTCAGGCTGCTCAGGGTCGGTTTCTTTATCATGTCCAACGGCAAGACACTTTCTGCCAGCGCGTGCGTTGGCTGGATGATTGAGCAGCTATTGGCCACCTGGAGCGTGATACTCATAGTAGACATTATGCTAATGGCACGAGGTATGATATTTTAAATTGAATGACTACTTATACTTGGACTCCAGCTAATTGTCGGGATCAAAGTACGCGTCTTGTATAATGACAATCGGAAGGTCCTATTAGCAATTTGGGTAGCCCTAGTTGCTGAGATCGTCGCAATGCTTATTGCCATAAGCCTTACTATCCCGAAAATCAAGCTCGCAGAAAACTGTTCGGGGATGAACTCACCCGCAACGCTCATGGCTTACTGGTACGTCCGAAATTAGGACCTGCAAAGACACAATATACTGATTTATCATACCGCAATAGGTTGTCTTCATTGTTATTCGAAACCTTTCTATTTGTTCTCACACTTCATCGGTTCTTTCGATACATTGCAACGCACCATATATACGACGGGACCTTCATGTTTATATTCATGAGGGATGGGACATGGGCCTTTGCCATGATCTTTAGTGCGTATCCCGTGTGTTAAGTTGCTGAATGGCTGGGACTTCCGACCACTGATCGGTTTTAATTTCCAGCTGTTCTGTTACTCAACACGTTATTTTACCAACTAATACACTCCCCACTGATTCAGGCGGGTTATTTGTGAGTAATTGTCTAGTTCAGATCTGAGTTATTACTGAACGCTTTCTGACAGCTGGGTTCTGGCCGTCATGTCGTTCACAGTAAGTAGGGTTTTTGATACTCATATATGAAGAC